GCTGAGAGACGTGCGAAACAAAGGACCCGCATGGTGTGGTGGTGAACGCGTTACTCCCCGGAAAGGATAATAGCGCGTTCGTTCCACACCATAGACACCTGCGGTCCAGAGTTTTGCAAATATCTCAGCAACGTTGTGGTTGTAGTGGATTTAGTTTATCTTCATACTGTAAACATTTGCTGATGTCTTGCATTTACAAAGGTTTTCTTTTACTGTTCTCATAACACTTTTACTTGATTGTGTTAGTTATCTTAGCGTCTTTTTTTGAGGCTTGAGGGCTTCAGCTTCATGTTGATCAAGTGCATCTCCTACTTCATGACAGAGAAGGAAAAATGTCCTAGCTCAGCTAGTCGCTTTTGTTCCAGTTGTTACTATGAGTCCGGCATCATTCATTGCTGGAAATATATTGAATACCGTAGACTGCCACTATATTATCCACTTGATTCCGTGAAATTCCTGTTGTCGGTTTGAAAATGTTGACGTGCGCGAAAATTGAAACTAATTCTTCTGTCGACTTCTTGTACTATCTTGGTTTTTGTCTCTATATTGCAGTTTTTTGTCTTTTTTGGGTTTTTAGAACAATACTGATTACAAACAAGGGCATAGTGATCAGAAGCACCATTTACTAATACGTACAAGGTCTCTGGTTCCCGCCAGGGTCAACCAAACTGTCCATCCTACTGGTGTTGGCGAATTGCTACCACATGTCTGGGAGGAGCGATTTCCAATCAGCAGCGGTTGGTGACTGTCTGCGTTAACGACGTGAGACCACCCCAGCATAGTTATTTTAGGATCTCAGGGGGAATCGCAAAATGCCTTTGCATTCATTGATATGCACAGATTTAATCATAAATCCTCAAGCAGCAGTTGAATCCACCACACGGAAAGTCTAAAGAACTTCGTTAATGAAGGGCGTGAAAATACGGATCGAATGAAGGAAGTTTTGGATCCGAGCAGGATATAATGTTTATTTCGGGTTATGTGGAGAAGTTGGGAGCAATGCTCTATATATGGACAAATATTGGTTGCTTCCATTAGTCAGCGTGCTAGCCGCTGTTTGCTAAACCCATAAAAGCGCTAGCCTTGATTATATTGATTTTGTTTGCAAAAATATCTGTCTTAAATATACGATTGGATGTGGTCTATTCTATTAGCTGGTCAGAAACTCAATTTACCGATTCCATGAAAATTTATTTGTCTCTTCAATCACTTCAATTCCAATTCAACTCAGACGACGTTCTACCAAGTGCACAGTGGAACACGGGTCTGGGAAGAAGAGCAATAGAAAAAGACAACAGGCGAAAATATAAGAACATGGTTTTTATGATTGCTACTATGAGTATCGGCTTGGTAAATGCGACGTCAGCGCCTCCGACATCAACGGAGTGTTGCGCAGTGGAAATGGGGCTCGTCAGTTTTCCGGCTTTCTTCTTCTTTCGCCACCTCAGGAGCTCACGGATACGAAATAATGGCAGCATTCTTCTGTCGCCCCAAGAGACATCTGACTATTCAACATCCTTTCGCGGGGTATTCATCACTCTTGCGCATTCAGGCCTTGTCATATCCCTGATGAACCAAATTTCTTCTCAAAGGGCCGACTTGCTTTTAAGCTCGCCATTGATCAATAATGCACTGTTTTCTTGACTACCAAACACGAGATTTTCAGCAGCAAATTTATTCAATACAATGCTAGCTGATGTTTTAGTGTTTCGTCTTCTTCAGAGCCGTTTTCTTGTCCTTAAGTTGCCCAGTTATTACTGGAGACTAGGCGCACAGAGTCTTACATAAGTGAGAAATGCTCTTCTCTAGACTCATACCCACAATTGGAAATTTTATTCGCAGTGGTTAAAATACTATAAAGGGATCAAGAATAAAGCTTTTGTCTTTGATCAAGTTTTGAGAGATGAATCATGCTTTCGATTCTATTCGTAGCATCGTAGAGGTGATGCATATTTGGGCTAAAAAGTGACTTTCAGTGGCGTACCGATGTATCGGATCAGTGTTTCTGTCTTCCTACTAGACATGTCTGATTGGTGGCAGTTTGCTAACACCGGAGGGAGTGAATCGCTGACGTTTCCAGGGCGTGGGATCGAACCAGTGAAAGATCTAGTGCATGTCTTAAGGCACCTCTAACCGCTGCACTAGGTGTGTGCAATACCATACGTCAAAAACAGTTTCGATGTCTCCGTCTCTCAAAATTTTATATTCTATGAAAGTTCTTGTCAGGAAAAAGAGCTACTACTTTTTATTACATTTTTATTGACCAGACACGTTATATTACAGATATGCGAAAACAACAACACACTGTGACCTGTTGATAACGCTCAAGTCGAATCAGGAAGAACCGGAAATGAAGCAAGTGGTTGCATGGCTGGTCGAGATAGTGTGTCCAAATCATTTCATGCAGTCATCCATTTATCATGTTCGATGAGAGTCGGACTTAAGAAAAACGTCGCAATTGTTCAGATCAAAACTCACGAGCCTCAGCTAAAAATCGAAATTCGGCATCACAACCTCAAGGATTGCTATGCTCTTTATCTGACTGCCAGTTACAAAAGGTCGATTATTGGTCGTTTCTTATGATGATTTTCAGAAATGCTGTGCTTGATTACCTCTTTCGATTTCATGGATTCGAACTGTATTCCTTTTCCTAGTGTCAGCAGGATTAAAGGACAAAAAGTATAAAGCTCTCGGCGATGATCAATCCCTGGGGGATGCGCCATGCATTCGAGTTCACTAAGCATCGTTAGATGTGAATGAATGCATATCTGGGCTTTACAATGACTCGCGGTGGCCTACCGATGTATCGAGCCAGTGCTGCTATCCTCCCAGACAAGTCTGGTATCAATTGCCCGACCTCGGAAGGATGGAAGGCTTGGTGGATCATGGGCGCGGGGATCGATTCAAAGTGCATGTTGCAGGGCGGCTCCGACCACTGCGCCACAGGCGTCCTTACAGGAACAGGATTAGTAGCTCTTTTTACCACTAAGTGTTTTCTATGAGAGCTTCTTATCTTATGTTAACACTAGACATGTGGCGCAGTGGTAAGTGGTGGTCTGTAAGATACCCTGTTAATGGTTCGATCCCGCGCCCTGGCCAAAAGAGCTGACAATTCTTCTGGAGTCGGAAAGTTATTAGCAGACTTGTCTAGGAGGATTGAAACACCGGCTTGATAGATCGACGAAATTTTACAAGTTAAGATCTGAACCAAGTATGCATTCAATCACCTTTACGATGCGAAACAGAGTCGAGTCCATAACGCATACCGGAGGGGCTGATAAACGCCGAACGCTTTATCTTTTATCCTTTTGCTAGTAACATAAGAGAAAAGTGGAATTAATTTCGCCTTGTTCCTATAATCGAATAGAGCTTGCTTCTCTTAACGCAGCCTTCGAGCAACATGCCGATGTGTGTGTGTTTTCTATGTGTCACCACTTTCTCTGGATGTGATCGCGTGTGTCACCTGCATTCCTAGTGCTCCTTTTGATGGTCAGACGGCTCGAGCGTGTATAGGAAAAAGTCTATATTCGTCCTTGTTAAGCGGCGGACTTCAGCAGTAGATTCACTGGATCGATGCAGATGTGGTCTCGAAATCCCATAAGATTCAGCCACTACTGCCTTTTGTGAAACGGTTATTATTAAGACGCATCACATCTCCAACCGAATAGATTTTCGACATCGTGGTGTATACGGCAGGGTTCTAAAATCTTTAGGTCTCCATTCGCTTGGTGCAAATTACCAAGAGGTGCATAACGCACTAGTAGCGATGTTGATCATCGGAAGCACGGTGCCTGCTGGAACACGCACCGTGCTCACCAAGTCTTTCATCTCATCCCTCCGAAGTCGGGAAATCTGTACCAGGCATGTCTGGGATCGGCTCGTTCACTGCGATCAAAATGGGAACGCACTAGCCAAACTAACCCAAGACTCCAGGAGACTCCTGAAGCAGCAGCCGAATCCACATGCGAAATGTTCGAAGACTGTCATGGCTGATGGATCCTTACGAACGAATCGAATGCCAGAATTGCTCGGATCCATAAAATAGATATGAAAGACGGGTCGTGCAGAAAAAGAAAAAGATTGACATCACCCAATCGATAGCGTGTTCAATAACACCGATGGCTCTTTCACCCATCTCACTTTTACATCCTGCTTACCGTCTCACATTTTTTTAGACCCAACTTTTTTGTCATAAAGATGCATCCACTCTTTGCTTAGTAGTGCGTATAAGTTCTTAGCTGCGTTAAAATTCAAGCTTTTTTGTCCAAAAGGAAAATTCTTTAGCTACGTTAATGCTATCTTTCCAGTTTATTGAAAGGAGCCGAGCTGTGTCACATAAAGAAGCTCGTGAAAAGCTGTTTTGGTGGTGGTCTTCGTGAGTTTTCGTTCGAGGAAGCCCAATGCTTCACTGGCATTGAAGTTCGAAACACATTCCTTACGGATGCCGAGCGAGCAATCATAGGTGAAAACTGAATGTTTTTTAAGAAACAGTTTAGAAAGACTGTGAAAGTAACATGGAAAGAAAAAAAGATCCCTGAAGATACATGGTTGTTTACTAGTGACCTCTTTACTTGTTTTCTACTTGCCAGTTTATCTTCAACATCATGAAATTTCCATGGGAATCCGAGATTGACACATATCACCCGCCGTTGAAATTTGGTTAGCTGGGACGACTCACTTGATTCATTCGAGCTGCAGAAATATAATAGTGAAAGTCGACCGGTTAGAGAAATCTATCGGCTGAGTACGAAAACGTATTGGGGAAGAGCAGGTAAAGAAAACCTCCAATGATGCTGAGATATTTGCAACACTCCGGACCGCAGGTGTATGTCGTGTGGAACGAAGGCGCTATTACTTTTTCGAGGGGTAACGCGTTCACCACCACACCATGCGGGTCCTTCGTTTCGCCTGCCTCCTAGCTAGTGCTATCGATCAGTGCCATCAGCAATTACCCGTCAACGGAATTGATCTGGGGAGCCTAAAACGGGTGATTGCTGATGGCACTGATCGATAGAACTAGCTGAGAGGCAGGCGAAACAAGGACCCGCATGGTGTGGTGGTGAACGCGTTAGCCTCCGGAAAGAGCATTCGCGTTCGTTCCCCATGACGGACACCTGCGGTCCGGAATTTTGCAAATATCTCAGCATCGCTGTGGTTGTATCACACACAATACTCTGACGTGGAAAATTGTAATAGGCAGTAAATAAAAAAGTTAACATCTGCGTAATCATTTAAATCAGTGGAAGAGGGTTAGGTAGCATACGATGCACGTCGTCCACTTTTGCTCTCCCGCATGTACAGTAAAAAGTGCACCTCGTGCGTCATGAATTAAAACGTTAAAGTAGGAACCCACTTTCCTATAGAATTTTGAAGTGGGAGCCAGTGCTTGGAAAAACTAATTATTGCCCAGAGAATATGGCGAAATCAGTAATACCAGGAGAGCTGTACTGAGAACTCCTGTGTTCGAATCAATGACCATCGGATCTTTTGAGTTCTCTTGCTGTTGCCTTGAAGACGTACACAAGTCGTTTGGCAATAAATCGCTAAGGAATGTTTTTAAACTGTCGTTTTCCTAGGAAGTCGTATCGACAGTCACGAAATCAGCTCAAGAAACGTTTAATTGAAAGTTCATCCTCCCTTTGGAAGTGTTTCTGTTTAAAATGTATCTTACATGAATATTTGATTTAGTGAAACAAATGGTCGATATGATACGAGCACCAAATGGTGGTATATCAATTACCTTACTCAACAAAACTATCAATATACGAGAAGGAATGGCTATTGGTAAGGGAAAACCAACTGAAGTTTTAATCTACTGCTTCTGTTTATGAAATTGTATCCAATTACTGCACTCTTGGGCGCATGTGTGGCAGTGGTTAGAGGTACCCTGAAATAAAAACAAGGATGATGGTTCCATCACGTATCCTTAGGAAACTGCGCGCTCTCCATCCCTCCGGGTTCGGTAAACTGGTGCAAGATGCTCTCCCACTTCGTAGAATGGGGTACTCCTAATATCATGCGGTATGTAGTACGTACAATAACACTCGCCGTGCTTCATTTCGCTTACCTATCGTTGAGATCTCTGAGTGATCTGTTGAGGCACTGTGGTTGAATGTTGACTTGTCGACCGGTGTAAACGGACCTTATTGGGAGGTATTCGTTTCCTTGGGTATAAAGAGCGGTATTCATAGAAACTAAGCAGCTTCTCGGGAACATTTTGTTTTGCTGTTCTGGGGGATCAGTGTCTACGCTAAGTCCATCTGGTTCTATCGATCATGATAATAAATAAAAATAAATAGAAGGGTAAACCTCTTGGCGTTGATGAATCCCTGAGGGATGCGCCATACATTCAACTTCATTAAAAATCGTTGGAGGTATTTGAATGTATATTTATCCGGCTTTTACAATGACTCGTGGTGGCCTATCGGTATACCGAGCCATTGCCGCTATCCTCCCAGACAAGTCTTATTCCAATTTGCAGACCTCATAGGGATGAAAAGCATGGTGAGCCCAGGGCACGGAGGATCGATCCCATGTGTACTGCAAGGTCGCCTCCGAATACTACGCTACACGGACCCCTGTGAAGCATAGTTTTTTGTTTATCCAGGTTTCACGAAGGAAATTTTGAACTAGTTCTTGGCTGGGTGAACCCCCGTCTTACATGCCGTTTCACTATTCAGGAAAACATTGCGTGGGAGAGAGTAGGGGGATTAATTTGCTATTTAGAGCAAAGTAGTTACAGAAGGAAAGCAGGCAAAACTCGTTCGCGAAGTAATATTTCACTTCTGATAGCATGTGAAGTTTTTTTTTATTTTTTGAAAGTATAGTACTTATCAATCGACAAAGGTCAGTAAATGAGTGATCATAAAATCGTGGCAAGTTGGTGAGCATCGTGGGACTGTGCTGTTTGTTTCGGGAATTAACCTTGTAGTATATCGGAATCAGATTTAAAACAACGTCCTTTTCAGTACCTCGTTTAATTTCGGCCGGTCTCATCGAGAACGTACTGCCTTTGCACAACGCCGAATTCCTAAAGCATCTTCAGCACAAATGGGTGCTGTCAGCAGGTAGTTCCACTCCATTCGCTTTCCTTCAGTTTTGTCTAAACAATTTAAAACTGTCGATAGTATCGTTCTTCAACTTCCGTACATGGCTCTCGTCATCACGGTTTTCTTCCACTTGTGCAGAAATACCCAAAAAGTTTTATCTTGTTTGTCTCAGTTTTACTTTGTTTCATTGGCTCAGTTTCTATTTGAATTTTGTCATTTTTCAAGCAGCACTCACAAGCATTTGGTCTGACATTTGACTCCTGTCTCGCTACCTGCAATTCCTTTCCCCCTTGCGATCAATGTGAACCAAATCATGAAGAATAAATTTCTGAACTGGTCACTGACGTTTTGTCACAAGATTAGCCATTCTTTATGCCAAACTTGTCAGCTCTGGTGTGATGCAAAGTGCCCGTACCAAACCCTTTTATTAAAGTTCTTCACTTTTTCTCAATAACTTTATTTCAAAGTTATCTTATGCTTCATTTATATCAGCTGATCAAATATAGCCATTCCACAAGTCTTCCAATACTTCTTAATAAGCGAGTGATCACATATACTCGTTCAGGAGAACAACCGTTAGAGGAAATACGTGATTATTTTGGCACCGAAATCGCCATGTACTTTTCATGGCTTGGCCATATGACCACGGCCCTGTGGTTCCCAGCTCTGTTAGGTGAGCATGACATCCCAAATGCTTTTTACCTAATTGCTAAATTGTCCAGTGAAAACAAACTGTAAAATGAAAGTATTTCATTGATAAGCTATAAGATGTTTATAAGGAACTTTATTCGTCTAACGTTTCGGCGCCTTCGTCTTCCTGAGAGCTGGATTGATCCGTGGCAATTGTCCGCAATTTTTCCCCATTTCTATGGGGGTCTTCGTTATCGTATTGGATCGAATCCAGTGGATCACCGCACGAATGAAAAAGAACCTCGCTTGCCAGCACTCTTTTGTACAAGACGGTTGTTGTTGATAGTGATCGGCGTTGGTAGCCGTTTGTTTTTTTTTTACCGGACAATCCATCCTGAAGCAGTCCGTATCGTTACCAGCTCGTACATTGCATAAAAGTATTTCAAAACCCGACTCACCTTTAATCTTTTTTTACGAAACTTTCTTTTTCTTTTCTTTTCGAGTGAATTTCTTCACTCGAGTGGTGCAGCACGCGATTCGATTCAAAGCGATTACGAAGACCCACATCGGAAGAAGGAAAAATTGTGGACAATTGACACGAATCAATCCGGCTCCGAGGAAGGCGAAGACGCCGAAACCTTAGCCGTATAAAGTTTTTTGTAAATATCATGGTGAACAGAATATACATTGTGGTTAGTCGTGCCGCGGTTAAAGGGAACTTAGTTTTTGAGATATTGTAAAATGGAAATATTCATACGGCGCTGTGCTACTTTCCTCAAATATGTATTCTTTCGTTGCTAATCTAAACCCTCATTATATATATCTCAGTTTAGTGATAAGCTTAAAGGATAAAGGATAAAGCTCTGGGCATTGACCAATCCCTGAGGGATGTGCCATGCATTCGACTTCATTAAGTATCGTTGGAGGTGAATGAATGCATATTATGCCCTTTACAATGACTCGCGGCGACCTACCGATATATCGAGCCAGTGCTGCTATCCTCCCAGACAAGTCTGGTACCAATTTGCCGACCCGTAGAGATGGAAGGCTTGGTGGGCCGCGGGCGCGGTGATCGATTCCACGTGTGTGTCGCAGTTGCGCCTCCAACCATTGCACCACACACGCCCTATTGACAAGCTTACACGAGTTTATTACAAGCCATTATTGTGGCTAACATTTCGGCGGTGTCGCCTTTTTAAGAGACACGACGATAGGAGTCGGGGTCTACAGCAGGTCGTTCATGCCATATGGATCTTTTTAGTTCCACCAAATAGAAACTATCGTAGTGCAACACCAAAGAAATGAAGTGCTCTCATTTAGGAATGTCCTTTTAAACAGGACGTTTCCTCACGATCATTCGAGTCGACTCCATGGCTCTGAAAAAAACTCAAACCTTAGCGAAAATAAGGATTAGTAGTTCACAAAATCGTGTACGCCCGTGAGCAAGTCGAGATATTGATTATCCACACCAGTGTTGTATGGAAGGAGCTACAGAAAATACTTCCTCAGAGACGACTTCATATATCAAGATAGACTGCGATTATTAACACCAACACACGTCTACTTCAGGATTGCTCGTTTACTTCATGGTTGGCTTCAAGTACAAAACCTCACCGGAGAACGAAATGAAGCACGATTCTTTCCAGGTCTTCTTCATAACAGTTTACCATTCCTAAGATTACCTAGTTTAGCTTCTCCAATGTTGTTGTGAGGACGGGCAAGCCTGGATTCTTCTGCGTTGAGTTTTCTACTTCCCACTCTGCTGCCTGTTCCTTCGTTTTGATGTGATTCAAGCGCTAATTTACTATGTTACACAGAAGAATGCGCGTTCGGATAGCCTTTTGCAATATCAGGTTTTTGATGCCAACGGAAATGTTTGTAGAACACAAATTATTAGGCACTACCGAGTTCCACAATCTTCCCACGAAGCTGGATGCTCTCACTCTGCTCATTTTTTTTCAGCTGTTTTCGGACGTATGCTTCGTATGCTTTGCTTTCTTCAATTGTGTCTGGTCAACTGCCTATTTGGAATCGTGGAAGCGGAAGCAAGCAGAATTGGCATTCAGATGGGGAACATACGACAGCAATTGTGATTCTTATCTCCAGGATCCAAGGCCTCAATTTCGGGTTTGTTTTATTACATCCACTGCTTCTACATGTAAACAAGTCGAAAATTAAGCGACGTTAGTGAAGGGTTAATTTACCATTTATACTCTACAATACTCGATCTCTAAAAATTCCTAACCAGCTGTCCACATTCGCAACCAGCGTTTTTTAAAGGAGTAGAAGAAACTTGTTATAACCATGAAACATTAACAGAAACTATTGATCGAAGAAACGTAGCGGCAGAATAAGTAATGAGTTCACTACGAGAGTTGAGAACGCCTTTCTACCGACAGACATAAATTTCCATAGTGTCCGGTTAAACTTCAGAAAAGAAACTTAAATTGAATCTCACATGAAAAGAACTCTCCTGTGAATCAGGTTCACAATTTTTCAGGGCGATTGCTTTGCACCGAATCCTGTGTCAGGACGTATGGAACCGTTCTATCCAGCATGGAAACACGCTTTGATCAGATACGGTAGGATCATAGCTCCTTGGTGCTACAAGTCTATGTTAACGAGCGTATTTAAGGCATCACCTACCCTCTCAGTTTTCTTTGTGTTGTCTGTATGTTCATCATGATGCTGGTTATATTTCAAATGCAGGATATGGCCGATTTGTAGGTTGTCGTTTATCTTATAATATACGCCTCTTCGGTAAAAACATCATTTGCGAGCAGGATATTTATTAAGATTTAAGCAGTTCGTACACATATCTTCCTTACGGATGAATTTCCTACCGGCTAGTTAGAAAGCAGTGTGGCGCGTCCCTGGGTGGCTGATTGCTTCCGTGGGATGCAGTTGGATCCAAAGGATGGTATCACTCTTTCTGCTTTGCCGATTTGAGACATATCTTTTGTGTTTATGAAGACGTATTCATGCATATCTGCGTGGATGTGTAGTGTACGTATTCATCCGGGTTGTATTTTACGATTCATTTCGGCCAAAAACCTGAAATGAAATGTTTGGGAAGTATATTGGAGGCGGCTAAGAGTCGTCTCCAACAAATGAGCCCCTCGCCTACTCCGGAAGAGATGAGCAAGCTACCCATGAGTATACCCCGCTCCCACGTGCAGAGCTCGGCAACCTTATACCTGGATGCTATGTGCTAACGACAGTAAAATCAGTGCGCCTCATTCTCCTAACCCCGAAACACCCTTGATAAAACCACGTTGGACGAGGAGGGTTTGCTAGAATCTTAGGGCATTTCTAGGCTTCTTAAATCTCGAAGGACTTTCGTAACGATTTGTCCTTACAACGCACTTTCAACTGCATCTGGGTGCTCTGTAGAGGAGCTAATCATACAAGCAAGAAGAATAGGATACGAAGTCATCGGACAAGAGAAGACAGAGAAGTCCATGCATTTTTTAAGGTCATAACTGGAGATTTTAACGCTAAGATCGGACCGAGAAGAACGTCCGAAGAACGTCACATTATGATCCACGAATTAAAATGGAACGAGCAGGGTCAGTGGCTGTCTGAGTCTGACGACAAAGACCATTTATGGTAACTTGCAATTCCAGAAGCCGCACCATCAACGCTAGGCGTGGGAGTGTCCGAATGGAAAATCCCATAAAGAAAATCACTGCATCATAGTAAATCAAAGGTCCGACTTCGCTGTTGTCCCACAATTCTACGGGGCACCAAACCATCGCTTTTTTTTGTGAAGGATTTTCGTTTTTCGCTGGAAGGAGGAAAGCGGCCAAATTCAAAAAACGAAGTCCCAAAACTAACATAAACCGTGGGAAGATGCCATGCCGTTCTCGATAACATCGACGAGGAGCACGATCGGCTAATTCAACATCTTCACTTTAGCGCTGCGAAAGCTGAGAGTTCGAAAGTCACCAAGAGATGTCTATCTCCAGAAACACCCAACCTGATATCCACGCGCTACAGGCAATCCGAGCGTGCAAAACAATTCAGAAAGGCGATGGAAGATGATCTTGAAGATAGAAGAGCAGAAACTGTGATCGACTCTGCAGAGACTGGGAAAAGCATTTGCAAAGCCCACCGAAGCAGCATCATTTGTAATACCAAAACAATTGCACTTCGACGCCCAGGCGGAACAGTTACAACGTCCAGAAGGACAGTGGAGAAAACCATTCACGAATACTACTCAGATCTCCTCGATAGTCACGTTCACCTTCCGTCATGTGAAATAGAGGATGGATATACTGTACCACCGGTTCTCCCTTCCAAAATCCGACATGCCATTTCGTCGGTGAAAAATCGAACAGCACCAGGTCTGGGAAGGATAAGATAAGAGCACTTGAAGAACCTTTCGCCAGTTCTCGCCAACACACTGGCTCGGCTCTTCACACGTTACCTGTCTGAGTGCAAGGTTCCTACTCAGTGGAAGACCAGAAAAACCGTGTTATTGATCAAAAAGGATGACCTTCATGATAGCAGCAACTATCGCCCAATCTGCTTGCTGCCTGCGTCTACAAACTTTTCACGCGAGTCATCCTAAATAGGATTGACAGAACACTTGACGAAGAGCAGCCATGTGACCAAGCAGGGTTTCGAAAAGGATTTAGTACGATGGACCACATATACGCGATAACTACACTCGCTAAAATGTCACGAGAGTCCAAACGACCACTCTATCTCACCTTCAATATATTCAAAGAACGCTTTGACTCAGTTGAGACAAAGCACATACAAGCTGTGGATAGGCAGCGCTTTCCTACTGATTATGCTAAGGTTCCTTATGAGCTGTGCAAAAATTCCACAACCAAAACGTCGCTATACATAACTTTTTACTTACTGCATATTGTTTTTTTTATTACATTTATTGTTCAGGATGTTATGTGAAATACCACCACAAGGTGCTCATATATTTGCAAAACTCAGACCCCAGTCCAGATTAGAATTTGCACTACTCTTTCCGGAAGCTCAGCTGTTACCCACTGCGAATTTGGGCTGGGATTTGAGTTTTACAAATGTGCCATCACCATTGTGGTCGTTTTTCATACAACACTTTGCCATGGAAAATAGTAGGCAGTAAATAAAAAGTTATTGTGAGTTATAGTTATAGATTGTGATTTCACCTGCAACCTCATCGTAACTGGGTATAATCCCAATTTGTGCTCTCCAGATCATACCTGTTGACGAAAAATTGCTTATGACACCGTTAATATGAAAAGTCTGGCTAAGAAGAAGGCAAAGCCATGTTTATTGGTGCAGTGAGTAACGCGGGAGCCCCCGAAAAGAGTAATGGCAGCTTCGAGTCTGGCCTGGGGTCTGAGTTTTGCCAATATCTCAGCACTATTATGGTTATATTTCACTAAATATCTCCATTCTACAACGATAATAACATCGAAGTCAAAAGACAGGATAGGAGTGACGATAGCGTCACGCCAAAATTATTACCTTCAAGGGCACCATGCGATGGAATGGGACAAGGTGGAAGTGAAAACTGATGGGCTGCAATTACACCACATATGCTTTGCTGCGTTCTTACAACACCAAGCTTAGCCAGGCGCAACGAATGCTTCCCGACATCGATAACGCCTGTGGAAAGATTGGCCTTGGGGCAAATCTCACGAAAACGATGTTCATGAGAAACGAATTGGTTTCGTATGTGCCATTCATATTCACTCAACGAACAAACTAATTACTTTTCTATAGAAAGCTGAAGGCCTAAGTATTGAAGTTAGAGCAAAGTAATCGGAGCTAACAGACATATTGGCGGAAGTTGATGACAGCCAGTGAAACAAATGAGATATGTGCTTGTCCTCTTCGCTGTACAGATTCACAATGGTCAGTTTCAGCTACTTTGGATCGAGTTTTCCACTTTCGTTGATCTGCCATCTCCCGATGGTCATCTACGCGCTGATAATCGTACTCAGCGACAAGCTCTATCGACATATGGCTTTATTTCTCAACGATATTGGTGAGCTTTCACGCTATATGAGTATCAGTAAAGATAAATACTTTTGTGATGTGTAGGATTTTTTTTACCACTCACCTTTAAAGTTTAATGGTTCGCTTTATAAACGGAAAAGAAATGTTTCCTAACTCAAATAACTTTGTTTATGAGTACATCTAGTTTTTTCAACGCATAGAAGAACATTATAAGTTGAATTTAGTGAACACTGGTTGTAGCCAAAATTTTCAGTACTCACCCTTAGTTTCTCTATTCTCGATAAATTTATAACAGAATAGCATATAAACTTCTGTAGCATATGCAGGGTTTGGAAATAAATTTTACTGTAACTCTCAAATAATTTCACAAGGAACGGAAAGAAACCTAGGAGAAATCACAATGTATAACTTCTACCTACTGTCCATTATTTATTTTTGTGGTGGGGTATTACGTCAAGTACAACCACAATGGTGCTGAGATATTTGCAAAACGCGGACCCTATGTGAGATCGAACCGCGATTACCGTTTCCGGTGACTCACGCGTTAAGCCCGTCACCTCTGATGCCGTCGTTCTGCTGCTTTCTTCGTGTGCCAGTCTTTATACCCTAACGGTGCCATCAGCAAAGATCCGTCAAATGGGCCCCTGGAAAGGGTAATCGCAGCTCCATCTGGTCTGGGCTCCAAGTTTTCCAAGTTTGGTCATCGTGGCGGTTGTATTTCACATCAATTCCCTACCACGGAAAGTAATAATAAGCAGTAAATAGAAAGTTAACATTGCAATTTCGACTACAGCCTTAGTTTAACGGAGTTTAATGCGGATTTGTGCTTCCCAGGTCATTTCCGTTGACGAGTGATTGCAGATGGCACCGTTAAGGTAAAAAGACTGGCTGATAGAAAGGTAGAACGAGGGTCTCCGTGGTGCCGTGCGCAACACATGACCCTTGGAAAAGGGTAATCGTAGTTTGGTCTGACCTAGCTCCAAGTTTTTAAAATCTCATCATTGTGGTCATGGGAAAAATGTTCTCTGTAGAGCCTAAGACGTTATGCTTGTGATGAATCTTGCGTATTTCTTGGAATTGCTATCAATTCGCGATGTCAACTGAGGGGGAGTTGTCTCTGATCCGTAAGACTTCTCACTGACGCCAGAGTGTTTTTCATACATTTCTTTTCCTTGAGATCGCCACCCCTGCCTGTATGCAGTAATTGCATCTGTGATTTCGCAATTTACGAAACGTCCTCTTTCTTCTTGAGTATTCCAAACGGATTTCTCAAGTGCAGTCAAAGTTCTCCAGACATCTTTTAGAAAACTACCGCACAGATGACGAGTACGAAGACTTTTTAATCAGTAAAATCGTCATTTTCCAATTTGTCACTGCTTTCGGATCGCTATTCTATATCGCTTTCTATCTAAAGGACATGAAACGACTACAAGAGGTATCATCTTTTCTACTTTGATAAGTGTAGTAAAACTTAGCAAACTCATGTACTTTTTACTGATGGTCTCAAAAAATCTCCTTTTCTTAATGCTGATCTATTCACCAGCAGCATTTCACCGTCTGCCTATCCTTCGCCCACTCGTTGCCGTACGAAAACTGAGTTTGGATATCTATTTTTGAAATCTGCCCTATTAGAGTGATTGTCATCTAGTTTAGTAGAAGGACATCTATTCAGAATGAATGTACCACCTTCTTGTCGCTTGGTATGCGGGGTTTTGGCCTTAGCCGATAACGCCCTCTATGGACACTATAGGGTACGCATGTGGCGCAGTGGTCGGAAGCGCCTGCGACACACACATGGGATCGATCTCCACGCCCATGGCTCACCAAACCTTGCATTCTTTCGGGGTCTGCAAACTGGTACCAGACTTGTCTGGGAAGATAGCAGCACTGGCTCGATACATCGGTAGGCCACCGTGAGTCATTGTGAAAGCCAGTTATGCATTCAATCACATCCAAACGATAGTTGATGAAGTCGGATGCATGGCGCATCCCTTAGGGATTGATCAACGCCTAGAGGTTTGCAGCTTTAATGGACACTAGAGTGTCCATTTTTAGAGTCGAAAGATGATCAAAATAGTAGGGATGACACCATAAAAGTCAACACTTAATGGTTTACAAAGAACTTTTCAAAGAAATGTATTCACCATTAATTTAACTAGCAATCGTATATTGCTTTATTTTAATCGCTACGTCATTGTATGGAATGTGCCGATGAAAAAAACACCGAAATAGACTCAACCAAGTGCTGACAGCAAGCTGTTTGTATAACGGACCATGAAAGAAGCTCTCGGCGTTAATCAGTCCCTAAGGGATGAGCCTTCGATTTCAGTAAGTATCGTTGGAGGGTGGCCTACCGATATATCGAACCAGTGCTGCTATCCTCCTAGACAAGTCTGATACCAGTTTGCCGACCTCGGATGGTTGTAGGGCTTGGTGAGTCTTGGACGCAGGGATCAATCCCATGTGTAATGAACGGCGCCTTCGGCCACTGCGTCAGTGCAGCCAAATAATGGACCATAGTAACACATGCTACATCGTAGCATGCACATAATCCGTACCAATAAAAGCCTAAATTAAGGCCTCTAACGTAATTCTGTTATGCTCATAATCTTTAAAGTACTCTAGTTGTTGAAAAATTCTTCAGAAAGCCAAAAAATCCGCAACCGAAGAAAAATTTATAGTATTTCTTTAGGAGAGTTGCACTAAATCGTGCTCATCCTTTATGAGTTAATCCTTCTAAGGAAGTAGAAAAGTCGCGAAAGGAGAAATGAATGTTGGGAAAATGTCGGCGTCCTTCGTCGGCACCACACGTTATGGTTTATGACAGTTTTAGAAATCATTAAAGCTCAAACAGCTTGGAATAATTTTAGAGTAAAATTTTGTAGCTGCAGGGAATTTTCTTTCTTGTTTTCAAATATATCACTGCAGTCCAAAAAAATAATCGCAAATTGGCGAAATCCATTGGCTGCCGTACTACCAAAGAACTACTTAAGTTGTTACCCAATATGGAACCGAATGTTTCAGTTTTTGGAACTCATTCTGTATATACGACTAAATGAAAAAGTTAGCATTGCCTTCAGACTCTCGCAACACTGCTCATTACTCGCCAGATAACACAGAACGTCATGGAAACGGCAGTACCGTTTCTTATGGAGAAGATGAAGCTCAGTCGTCTAACCTATAAAATGACAAAGTTTGCTGCTCTGCACTTCTGTTACCTGACTGGTGATAGGGTCTTAGTTTTCAGGTGCATGAGCGACGGGACCCTTCGAAGACATGTCGAAGAAGTGCGGCGTAAGAATGTTTCGGATAGTAAGGTGAATGGATATGACGATTAACTGCAGTAGAACCATAAAAATATCTGCAAAACTCCGGACCGCAGGTGTATGCGGTGGGGAACGAATGCGCGCTATTGTCCTTTACGGGGAGTAGCATCCTGATCCGGATGCTGCGGTGGTGAAGTGCGCTACTCCCCGTAAAGGACAATAGCGCGCGTTCGTTCCCCACCGCATACACCTGCGGTCCGGAGTTTTGCAAATATCTCAGCATTATATACGAGTTATATTTCGCAACATACCTGCCATTAAAAAGAAAAAGGCAGTAAATAAAAGGGTTAAGATCATAAAAATATCGTTAATATCGTGTACAGAGTACTCCGGGTTCCACTCCGTATTTTACACTCGGTTCGCCATCAAATGAAGGAATCCGAAGGAGGTCCTCACGACGAAGAATGGTCGGACAGGATAATGAGCTGCATCTTTTGGAGGTTCGTCAGAATCAGTGCGTAATCAGTCGTCACCTAGAAAATTTTGTCTTCAACTAAATGACATAACACCGAAAATTCCTATATATTCTGATTACCACTAAGAAATAGTTGCCTACCATAATTGACTTTCTTTTTTTCTGTTTGTTTATTGGCGATTTTTAACTTTGTAGTCAGAACAGTTTAGCAGAATGTTCTAGAGTTAAGATAGTTCATTACTCCTTCCTCACTATCTATTGTGTTTTGTATTTATAAAAGGAGAGGGCAGAAATAAGCAAAACTATTGTTTTAGAACCTGAATCAGGTATTCGCCTCTGAGGATTTTCAGCTTCGTTCTCCACGATTGCCATTACCAGAATTCAAACCGTCTTCCACAGGTCTCCTACATTCATTTCCCGTTGTGATTCGGGCATTCTGTAGAATCTAGAAAATTTTCAAATGTGATACAATCATCCATTTACAAAAAAAAAATCACTTCATTTCGTTGTTCAATGCTTTGGTTATAGTGAAATAACAGTTTTTACAAAAAGTGTTTAACGGCTTACAACCACGATGATGTTGAGATATTTGCAAAACTCAGGACCGCAGGTGTCTGCGATGTGGAACAAACGCGCTATAACCCTCTCCTGGGGACAACGCGTTCACCACCACACCGTGCGGGTCCTTCGTTCCGCCTGTATCTCAGTTAGTTCATTTTATTTAACGACCTTTTCCAAAGATGGTCCCGCTTATAGGTCCAGAACTCAGTCAAGCCGAGCTGGAAAGCCTGATGGCAGTCTATGATCGTCCGTTAGACGATTACCTTGAGATGTTTATTCAGGTATCATGAAAATTATTCTCATACAGTTCTATATAACTGTGTATTTTTACTTTTTAAGCTAAAACCGTGAGTTAAAGTTAATTATCTTAGGCACTAAAAAATTGTATGGCAATACGATAAAATGATGTTGATCCATAACAATATGGGGTCCCAAGCTCAGAGAACTATGTGGATACTGCAGTGTCCATTTTCAGCCCAATGTGTTCTAGAACTTTCTCACTGTCCTATATATATTAATTAGATATTTATGTAAAAAATGCTGAAGTAGACTCAACATAGGCTGAGAAATACTTCTAAGTGCTGAGGGCAGGGTATTTGTATGAGAAACCATAGTGGCACATAGTACACAGTAGCATGCATATCATTCGTACCCATAGGACAGGATAGGACAGGGTGATAGGACAAAGTCTCTTCTACAATTCCGTCATATTCCAACCCTTAAAGCAATCTAATTATTGAGAAATTACTTTTTTGTGCCAAAAAGCCAAAAAATCTGTAGCCGACGGAAAATTTCTCGTATGGCCGTTTCCCAGCCTCAGTGAAGGCTGCGCTTCCATCGTGCTGTCTCCAGCAGTGAAGTATGAAGACGTCATTTTGAAACACGCATAATAAAACATAAGTGATGAACCGTTCGTCATTAGTTAACCGTGATGGGTGCCCTATGCGTTTGACGTTATCAAACATCGTAGAGGTGCTTGAATTCTTGAATTCACATCTGGCCCATACAAATACAACTCGCAGTTGTCTATCAATCGGTTTTATTCTCGCAGACAAGTCTGGCAACAATTTATGTGTTGCAAGGCTTCGTTAACCCCCTATGCTGGATGCATCCCTAATACGTGCTTAATAAGGTGCCAACTTTTTGCAAAGTTTTTTTATTATTTACTATCATTCGTAGCATCCCATATGTTGCCATTTAGCCGCAGTTGGCGTATCACCTAATCGTTGATTACTTGGTCTTAGAACTTCATGACTACAAAAATCGAAACGAAAATATAGACATCACCTTGATCCTGAACAACAATCAGTGCACCGGTGCGGTCGGTGAAAGTGATTCAACATCTCATCGTCTGCTGTTTTAGCTTTACCATTTTGTCAGAGCATCACTTCCTGCCACGAAAGTTTTGTTTTGAGCACTACTATCGATCAAAAATGCGAAGAAGAAATGGTAATCAGTCTTGAAAAGAACTTCCTGACGACTAAAAGTTGCCTCAGGTTCTTAAAGATGATGCAATTCCCATCAACTAGCATGAAACGGATAATCCTTATAACGCATTGTGAGAGACTTTTGCGGTCGGTAGAAGATTAAGCTCAGTAGAGGAGATATCAGCCAGAAAGTGCGCTTTGTCTCAACAGCGATTGCATTCACTTTCATTAATCACGTCTTATCTTGACTAAACAAACCTTGCGGCCACCTTTGTTTCGATTCCAGCTCAAATCATTGTACATCTATCGATTGCTGCTATAATACTGGTGCATATGGAATAAACAAGACTAGGCTGACATTAGTAGCACTGCCACGACCGACTTTCTATTAACCTCGGCATTGATCAAGTGATTTTGTTCGTATTTTTTGAGCAAACGCGAGGTGTTATTGTTCTTTGTTCACGATTAAGCTGACGTTTCGGCGAATTTCGCCTTCTTCAGAGCCTGGAAAGGTCAAGTTGATAGCAACTCACTCGGCCAGACGCCTCCATAACCAAACAAAGAAACCCCAAACCAAGATTTCAATCACTTTGAACACAGCTTTGCACACTCACCGCTTTCTATGAGGTCTCCACTAAGTATGTCACGTAGAGACCAACCGCACAGAAATCACGTGGAAGTATAATGTGCCCCTCACATCAGAAAAGCAGTTTTATATACTGCCCTATATCACGCGTGATAATGAGG